CTCTCTCTCTCTCTCTCTCTCTCTCTCTCTCTCTCTCTCTCTCTCTCTCTCCCTCTCCCTCCCTCCCCATCCTATTTTTGGCCATAACTATTTAATACTGTCCATAGGCTTATGTATCGAGGGGGGGGGAGGGGGTTGTGTATTCCTGTGTACGCTTTGCATGTATCGGGTGATTCAGAGAAGACGCAGGTGCAGGCGGATTTGCCTACCTCAGTCGCCATGGCGCCTTACGGGCAGAGCGAGTACGCAAACATGCCCGCACCTGCGTCTTCTTTGAATCATCCGGTATTTCCTCTATTTCCATTGTATTTTTCTTGTATTTGTGGCGTGTATTTGGATGTATTTCTGTGTACTTATTTCTATTCTGAAGTATTTTTGGTATTCTCTTTGTATTTCTTCTATTTCTGTGTACACGATTTTTTCGAGTTGGGTTGTATCATCTTAAAATCGTAACGATTGTTTTCCTCTCTTTTGTTGCAGTGTCGTGCTTCCTTATCACAGCGGGTAGCTTTTGCCTACTATTTGGGGTCCTGACCTCTATCTGCACACCGTACGACGTTCTCATGCGAGAGGTGAGTTTCTGTAAGACTAACGGCTATTTGCGTTGAAATTCAAGAACATTTTCGCCGAAAATTACGTTTCTAAAAGTTGATGAAAAGTGTAATATGCTTGGGTGCCCTCTTGGATTGCTGCATGGTTCTAATCAACGATCAACCCTTTGCAAAAATACAAAACCTGCTCGTTGTGCGGCGTATGTTTGACCGCGGCTGAACCCCTGTCAAGGAGAGGGTAGGCAGCCCCGCGCGCCAGGGCTGCCGGGCGGGCTGGCCTACCAAGAGCGGGGGTCCGTGCTGTGCCGAAGGGAAGGGAACGGTGCTGCATGCAGAGAGCAGAGAGTCGAGTGCGTGAATTCCTTCGATCTCATGTAAACAAAAGCGACCATAACACGCTGCGACTTTTGCGGGGGAAGAGGGAGGGGGGAGGGAGTCAGCCCGGCCCCCGCGCCGGCTGCCGCTGGCCCACATCCTCAAGGCCACCAGGCCGATGGCAGTGGCGCTGCCGCCGTGCCGCCGCCGCGCTGCGGTGAGGTGCGGTGCGCTTCGGTTCATCCCGAGGCTCTGGGATAAGAAGCGGCGGCGGCGGCAGCGGCAGAAGCAGCAGCAGCAGCAGCAGCAGCAGCAGCAGCAGCAGCAGCAGCAGCAGCAGCAGCAGCACTGCTTGCAGCCGTACGGCCCCCCTGCCAATGCTTGAAGGGGTCACCTAAGAACACTGTTGTAGGTACCTGCATGCGGTAATTGAGTTTATTGGACGTCTTTATTCTTTTCAGTTGTCCAAAAGTGCAACAACAGAACAAGGAATTTATTTTACATAATTTTTCTAATGTGTATGAAAATTGCAAATTGACGTAATATTTATAGTTGGAAACGAACTGTTCTTCTGGCATTTTTGTATTAGGTATGTTCCCCCCCCCCCCTCCCACTCCCCCCAGGCCCCCAGGTGAGTGACCAGTTCGAATTCGAATCGAAACAGGATCGATTCGGTTCGGTTCGATTTCGGAATTGAATAATTCGGGTTCATTAAAATTAGGTTTTCCGGGGAAATAGGTTATGCTCCACTGGTCCTTTTGTCTCCAGAGCAGAGAGAATCTTAGTCCCAACACTTTAAAAATATGTTGACTGCGCTCGTTAAATAGTGTGTAGCATCTCTAACATTGTTACCACAAGATTCAATTCGCATTCACAATAGTTATTTATATCAATCTAAATGACAGATTTGTATCTTCTTCTGGACAAAGTAAAAAACGTCCTGCAGGATATACAGGATATCGAGCAGGATGCGCACACAGACGTATCTTGCAATTGACGAAAATTGTCTCTTGTCATTCAGAGTGAACATTAGAATCGAATCGACTTCGAAAATGGGTGATTCGCACACCTCTACCCCCCCC